GCCGCCTGCTGCCCGCTGGCCAGAGCACGTGAAGGCGGCACTGCCCACCCCGCCTTTCTCTACGACGCGCCTCGGGCCAGGCAGGCCGGCGGGACGCAGCGGCAGCCTGGACTCAGCCGCTGGCCTGGCACCACCCGTCCTGCCTGGCGCGCCACACTCGGAACACCAGAGGTGCGGGCGTCCCACGGGGGGCTGGGGGGCTGGGGGCTGCCTGCTAGCTGGGCCGAGGCGGCGCGGCACAGCCCGGGTAAGCGCCATGCACCCCCGCGAGGCGCCTGGCGAGGGCACGGCCGTCCCCAGCCGCAGTGGCGCCTCTGTGGGTGCAGGAGCGCCGCTGGCCTTCCCCACGGCGAGCCGCCCGGCTCTGCGGTGAGCTGCCTTTGGGGCCGGGCAAGTTCCTGTTCCCCGCGCCCGCTGGCAGCTGGTCAGCACCACGAGGCCACTGCAGCGAGGTGAGGAGCTGGAAGCTGCCCGCCCACATCGGCCACACAGGCTGCGTGCCCGGGGCTGTTTCTCGGCAGGGGCGGGTGGCTCCTGGCGGCCTCCTGGCCGGCCACCACTCAGCAGACACTTGGTGTTGAGGACGCACGCTCGGGACCTATGACGCCCTGCACGGCGGGTGGGGCCACTCGAGCCGGAGCCACGGGCCGGGGCCACACGAGCCGGGGCCACACGAGCTGGAGCCCACGGGCCGCAGCCACACGAGCTGGGGGGCCACATGAGCCAGAGCCCACGAGCCGAAGCCCACAAGCCGGGGCCACACGAGCCGGGGCCACACGAGCTGGAGCCCACGGGCCGCGGCCACACGAGCTGGGGGCCACATGAGCCAGAGCCCACGAGCCGAAGCCCACGAGCCGGGGCCACACGAGCCGGGGCCACACGAGCCGGGGCCACACAAGCCAGGGGCCACGCGAGCCGGGCGAGCAGCTGGTGGCGGAGTCCAGCTACTGTGCGCGGGGCGGGTGGCGCCGCCTCTGAGCTGGTAGACCCTGAGGGTGTTTCCAAGGCCCAATTTCAGAAGAAAGCAGCTCAAATCCAGAGCGGTAGGGAGACCGGCTGTCGCGTGCTCCCCGCCATCTCGGGCGCCCCCTCCCGCCCCCCAGCGCCCGGGGCAGGGCCCAGCTGGCTCTCACCTTCACGATGCTGATGGGCTTCCGCGACAGGTGGAAACTGGCGTACAGCAGGAAGGTCAGCACGAAGGTGAAGGCTCTGTACCTGCGACACAGGCGGGGGCAGGCGTGGGGCGCCGCGGCACCCCGACTCGGCGTGGGTCTGCTTCCAAAGCGAAGCCGCTCGAGCCTTCGTCACCACGAGCCCGGGCGCTTGGGCCGCGCCGGGCATGCATGGGGCAGGCTGGTGCCCGGCAGAGCG